AGAAATGGGCAAAACATACATACATACACATACACACACATATATACATATATAACAGACTATTACTCAGCCATAAAAAAGAATGAGATTTTGCCATTTGCAACAACATGGATGAATCTAGAGGGCATAAGGCTAAGTGAAATAAATCACAGAAAGACAAAAATATATTTTTCACTTGTGGGATTTAAGAAACAAAGAACAATTTTTTTAAAAAGACCGACAAAAAACTAGACTCTTAAATACAGAAAGCAAACTGGTGGTTACCAGAGGGCATGTAGATCTCGGGGAGGGGTGAAAAAGAGTAAGATACACTTATCTTGGGGTGCCTGGGGGGCTCAGTTGGTTGACCATCTGACTTGGTTTCAGCTCAGGCATGATCTCACAGCTTATGAGTTCAAGCCCTGTGTCGGACTCTGTGCTGACAGTATGGAGCCTGCTTGGAATTCTCATTCCCTCTCTCTTTTGCCCCTTCCCCGCCCTCTCTCTCTCTCTCTCAAATGAACTTTAAAAAAAAAAAAAAAAAAAAAGAGTACACTTATCTTGATGCACACTAATGTATAGAATTGTTGAATCATTATACTGTACACCTCACAGTAATATAACCTGTACATTCATTGTACTGGAATTTTAGAAAGAAAGAAAGAAAGAAAGAGAGAGAGAGAGAGAGAGAGAGAAAGAAAGAAAGAAAGAAAGAAAGAAAGAAAGAAAGAAAGAAAGAAAAGATTCACTCATATGAGGACTTTAAGACACAGAACATATAAACATAAGGGAAGGGAAGCAAAAGTAATATAAAAACAGGGAGGGGGACAAAACATAAGAGACTTTTAAATATGGAGAACAAACAGAGTTACTGGAGGCATTGTGGGAGAGGGGATGGGCTAAATGGGTAAGGGGCACTAAGGAATCTACTCCTGAAACCATTGTTGCAGTATATGCTAACTAATTTGGAAATAAATTAAAAAAAGAAGAGAAGAAAAAAGAAAAAAGGAAAAGAAGCCCCTGGCTGGCTCAGTTGGTACAGCATGTGACTCTTGATTTCAGGGTTCTAAGTTCAAGCCCTACAGTGGGTGTAGAGATTATCAAAAACAAAAAACAAACAAAACAAAACAAAACAAAACTTAAAAAAAAGAAAAAAATAGACCAAGAAAAGGAAAAAAATAGTGATAACATCAAATGATGGCAAAGATGCAAAGAGACTCCATCACTCATATACTGCCAGTAAGAATGTAAATGATAGAGTTGCTCTGAAAATCAGCTTGGCAGCTTCTTATAAAACTAAACATGTCACTACCATATGATTCAGCAATTGTACTTGGGCATTTATCCCAGAAAAATGAAAACTTATGTTTACACAAAAACCTATATACAAATGTTCATAACACTTTTACTTCCAATAGACAAAAATTAGAATAAGGCCAGATGTCCTTTCACAGGTGAAGGGCTGAACAAGCTGTAGAATATACACTGTGTGGAATATTACTTAGTAATAAAAAGGAATAAAATATTGATACATTCAATAAACTGAAGGAATCTCTAGGAACTTACACAATATAAGTGAAAGAACCCCAGAAGCTATATACTATATGATACCATTTATGTAACGTTTTTAAAATAACAAAATTTTACAAAGGACAGAGTAAGTAATTAGCAAAGGCTGGGGAAGGAGCTGTAAGAAAAGAAATGGATTTGATGTAAAAGGGCCAAGGGAGGGATTCTTGTGGTGTTGCAACTGTTTAGTATCTTGACCGTGGTGACACATATGTGAACCTACACCAGTGATAAAAATGTAGAGAACTTAATATACACATTATATATTCTACGTACTACTCAAAATGAATACAGGTAGATCTGGAGACATCTAGAACACATCTTCTTAGAAATACAGAATTTTCTTCTAGGAAAAAAAAAAACATGAATAACAAAAACTGGGTTCACGTGAACAAGATTGGAGGATTATATCAACATCAATATCCTGGTTGTAATATTTGATGTTTTCATAAAACATTACCATTGCAAAACCAGGCAAAATGCACAAGAGATCCCTCTGTATTATTATTTTTTTTTTTAATTTTTTTTTTCAACGTTTATTTATTTTTGCGACAGAGAGAGACAGAGCATGAACGGGGGAGGGGCAGAGAGAGAGGGAGACACAGAATCGGAAACAGGCTCCAGGCTCTGAGCCATCAGCCCAGAGCCCGATGCGGGGCTCGAACTCACGGACCGCGAGATCGTGACCTGGCTGAAGTCGGACGCTTAACCGACTGCGCCACCCAGGCGCCCCAAGAGATCCCTCTGTATTATTACTTAAAACTACATGTGAATCTACATTTATCTCAGTAAAAAATTTCAATAATAAAAATGAGAGTGGAGCTCTATCTACATGCTCATATGAAAATATGTCCTTAATATATTAACCAAGGTATTGAACACGTATACAGGCCATTTACATTTCCAAATTTTAAAAAAAGAAAAGGTTTGTATAAAAAGAAAAGTTTAATAGAACATTAAGTACATGAGGGGTGACAGAAATAGAAACTTTTACCTTCCATTTTTAAGTCTGACTTTTTTTTGCCACAAATATTTATTACCTTTCTAACTAAAAAGAATCACAGCCAGGGTGCCTGGGTGGCTCAGTTGGTTAAGCATCTGACTTTTTTTTTTAATGTTTTTATTAATTTTTGAGAGAGAGGAGAGAGAGTGTGAGCAGTGGGGGGACGGGGGGGGGGGGGAGAGAGAGAGGATCCAAGGCAGGCTCTGTGCTGACAGCAGAGAGAATCTGATATGGGGACCGAACTCACGAACTGTGAGATCATGACCTGAGCCAAAGTCAAATGCTTAACTGACTGAGCCACTCAAGCACCCTGTGTCCCACTCTTGATATCAGCTCAGGTCATGATCTCACAGTTCCTGAGTTTGAGCCCGGCATGGGGCTCTGCACTGACAGGGCGGAGCCTGCTTGGAACTCTGGTCTCTCCCGTTCTCTTTGCCCCTTCCCTGTTTGCCCTTTTAAAACAAATAAATAAACATTAAAAAAAAAAATCCTAGCCATTTCTTCAAAAGGCCACACTTGAAATTATTTTAAAAGTCTAAGGAACAATCATTCAATGAAAATCAAACCCACCACTGCAAAAGAGATGGGATCTCCTTTCAGTGGGTTCTTATGAAAACTAGGGGGTAGAGATGTAACATTTACATCCGTGACAATGACAAAAGACAACCAGCAAAACAACATAATAAAGTTATACCACTTAACAGCTGGGAGTACACAAAGATCCTGATCCCACTACACAAAGTAAATTCTCGTGATTACCAAGAAAAAATGGATAAAATTCTATTAAACAGAAATAGAAACTGTCAACAGTAGTTTATGTCTTTAACTTACCAAGTAAGGCAGAAGAGTTCAGAAGAATAAAGAAAAAAAAGCAAAAACGCAAAGACAGGCTTCTGGAAATTCACGACTAACTCTCCCAAAAGGTGTTTGGTTCTTGCATATAATAGGCATTGCTTACTGAGCACCTACTTCAGAACTAGCATCTAGTATCTTGTTGCACTCTCAAACAAACCTGTAGGTAAGGTACTAGCCCCAATTTAGAGATGAGGAACTGGGCCTCAGAGATTAAAGGGACTTCTCCAACTAAACAGGAAGAACAGTACACACTCAGACACACTCAGAGATCTGTTCAATTTAAGACCATTATGATTCGGGGTACCTGGGTTGCTCAGTAAGTTAAGTGTCCAACTCTTGATTTCGGTTCAGGTCATGATCTCGTGGTTTGAGATTGAACACCACGTCAGGCTCTGTGCTGACAGTGTGAAGCCTGCTTGGGATTCTCTCTCTCTCTCTCTCTCTCTGCACCCCCTCCCACTCACGTGCTCTCACTCTCTCAAAATAAACTCAAAAAAATAATAGTAAGACCACTATGATTTAGTATTCACAATTAAAAGACTGAAAAGTGAGGGGGCACCAGGCTGGCTCAGTCGGTGAAGCATCCAACTCTTGATCCCAGGGTCATGAGTTCAAGCCCCAAGTTGGGTGTGGAGCCCACTTTAAAAAAAAAAAATTACCTTGTTAAAAGACTGAAGGTGAGAATGTGGAGAAAAATATTAGGATATTAGGAAACTCAAGTTCAAAGACCTTAGAAATTGAGTGCATGAGGAGATAAAGTCAAAAAAATTCTGAGGTTTTAAAATTTGGTACACCGAGGAGAAGAGCTGACAGTCCATTCATCACCTTCCTATCTAAAACTTACTTCCTGGGGCACCTAGGTGGCTAAGTCGGTTAAGCCTCTGACTTTGGCTCAGGTCACGATCTCACCTCTTGTGGGTTCAAGCTCCACAATGAGCTCTGTGCTGACAGCTCAGAGCCTAGAGCCTCCTTTGGATTCTGTGTCTCCCTCTCTCTCTGCCCCTCCCTGCCTCTCAAAAACAGATAAACATTAAAAAAAATTTTTTTAGTAAAATAAAATCTACTTCCCTCCCCAAGTTGTACTGCTATAATAGCACCATCTACCCTTTCCTTTGGTAACTATATAAAGGACTACTACAAAAAAGGCATCATGCTACATACTATTAATATGCAACAATGAATCAGACCAAGAGGATAAAGACATGAGCCAGGGGAGGGTGTGAAGTAAAGCAAATCTAATCTATTAGTAAATAGTTCAGTCTGACTGAACCCAGAACACCTTGGATATAGCATATATGAGATTTGAGAAAGTCAAGAAAGGGTCCTATCAAAGAGGCACTAAATATGGGCTTTGTTTGTTAGGTAAATAGGGAAAGAAGTGAGGCACTGAAGGTAAAGCTTTAACCAGAGACCTAGAATTTCTCATTTTGGAGGTCAGAAGTAATTTTGGATAAGACAGACTGGAAAGAAAAACTATATGAAGAGTGATAAAGACCTCATAGTAGAATGGGAATTAAGAAATGAAAAAAAAAAAAAAAGACTGGAGAATCTGTGTAATTTAGAAATCGCATAATGGAGTGCATGGCTGGCTCAGTCGGAAGAGCAGCATGTGACTCTTAATCTCAGGGTCATGAGTTTGAGTCCCACGCTGGGTGGAGATTACTTAAATAAAAATTTAAAAAATAAAAATAAGGGGCGCCTGGGTGGCGCAGTCGGTTAAGCGTCCGACTTCAGCCAGGTCACGATCTTGCGGTCCGGGAGCTCGAGCCCCGCGTCAGGCTCTGGGCTGATGGCTCAGAGCCTGGAGCCTGTTTCCGATTCTGTGTCTCCCTCTCTCTCTGCCCCTCCCCCGTTCATGCTCTGTTTCTCTCTGTCCCAAAAATAAATAAACGTTGAAAAAAAAAATTTTTTTTAATAAATAAATAAATAAAAATAAAAACTTAAAAAAAAAGTCAACTCTTGGGGTGCCTTGGTAGCTCAGTCAGTTAAGCATCCAACTTCAGCTCAAGTAATGATCTCGCAGTCAGTGAGTTGAAGTCCCACGTCAGGCTCTGTGCTGATAGCTCAGAGCCTGGAGCCTGCTTCAGATTCTGTGTTTCCCTCTCTCTGCCCCTCCTCTGCTCACGCTCTTTCTCTCTCAAAAATGCATAAACATTAAAAAAATTTTTTTAAAAAGTCAACTCTATAGGATGGCATACAAGACCTATGTTTATACTTTACCTCCTGACAACCTCATTCTCCCAGATTCCTATCAAAAGAATTTCTTGGGGGGCGCCTGGGTGGCGCAGTCGGTTAAGCGTCCGACTTCAGCCAGGTCACGATCTCGCGGTCCGTGAGTTCGAGCCCCGCGTCGGGCCCTGGGCTGATGGCTCAGAGCCTGGAGCCTGTTTCCCATTCTGTGTCTCTCCTTCTCTCTGCCCCTCCCCCGTTCATGCTCTGTCTCTCTCTGTCCCAAAAATAAAAAAAAATTTAAAAAAAAAAAAAAAAAAGAATTTCTTGGCACTTCTATATCCTACTCCTTCTTACTTACTGGCATGCCTCTGTTCAATTATACATAACCTTTCTGTGAAGTTCTTCAGGATTACTCCAGACATGCCACAGTACTGTATTTATAACACCTGTTAAACTACTTACTATTCTGTATTGTCAATGTTTACACTGGTGTTCCTTAAATAGTAAAGTTCCTTAAAAACACAAAGTAGGTCTTACCTTTTAATACTAGCAGTGCCTGGCACAGAGAAAGCACTCAAATGTGGTTTGATCATAAAAATGAGGGACTCCAAAGTTTCCAGCCTTGAAATGAACAGGAGGATGATGCCGTCATTAACACAAAAGGAAATGCATGTTTGGCATAAAGGATAGGTTCAAAATTGAATATGATATAGGTAGAAGAGAAAGTTGGTTGGCGATTAGAATTTCTTGGTCTGAAGCTCAGAAGTCAGATCAAGAGCATTTTCACACAGCAGAGTAAGAATAAAGTAAATCCATGAAAGTGGATGAGACTGCAGAGAATCAAAGAGGAAGAAAAGACAGTGAGCAAAGAAGGGCTGTTTAAAGGAGTGGTGGTCAAATACTGCAAATCTAATAGGGTAAGTATTGAAGTGTCACCTGGGACTTATAAAAGAACAGTTGCAGCAGAGTAGAGGATATAGAAGCCAATCCACAGAGCTTTAAGGAGAGGTTAAAAAAGCAGTTAACTCTTGCAAGAAATTCACCATTAAAGGGGAAAGATCATTGGAAGGGTTATAGGATACAAGAAGATGCCTTTAGAATAGGAAGGTATCATCCCGTTTTTAGGCAGAAAAAAATGAAGTAGAAAAAGTAGAAAATAGACTCCAGAAGGAAAGAGGAATGAGTAACACCAGGTCCTCTAGCAGGGAGGACATGAGAGCAGAACATGAGAGGTATGGAGATAGGATCTATTTTCTTTTTAGACAGGAAAGAAGAGGGCAGAGAATTGCTGCAACGATGAGGAGAGCAGAGAGAATCTGAGGAATCATTGTCTCAGGGACCACCACAAGCCATACAAAGATCATCTGCACTCATCTCTCCTTCTTTCCTCAAATCCAGACTCTGATTTTGCCTCCAAACCAGATAGCCCAAAATGGCTGCCAATTTCCCTCCTCTGAAATAATCTTTTCGATTTACCCTCTTTCTTTCTACTAATTCTGCCCATGTTTTTTTGTTGTTGTTGGGGGTTTTTTGGTTGTTTTTTTTTTAATGTTTATTTCTGAGAGAGACAGCCCATCAGCAGGGAAGGGGCAGAGACAGAGGGAGACACAGAATCTGAAGCAGGCTCCAGGCTCTGAGCTGTCAGCCCACAGCCCAACAGGGGGCTCAAACTCACGAACCGTGAGATCATGACCTGAGCCAAAGTCAGACGCTTAACCGAATGAGCCACCCAGGTGCCCCCAAGTCTAAGTTTTAACTACTATTGCAACAGACTCTGACATCCTAAGGTTGCCTCTATTCTCCCCCAGCCAAAGTTTTTCAAACACAGATTTCATCAGATCACTTCTCAGCTAAAATCCCTTGCTGGCTCCTAGTCCTATCACTTCAACATCAAACGCCACAGTCCAAATTTTTAGGCCCTATTACCAGACTACACTTATCCTACCCAACCAATCTTCAACAAATACTTCCTGAAAATACTATGTTCACTTAATTCTCTACATGAAAAATACCCTTCTAGGAGGTACCTGGGTGGCTTAGTCAGCTAGGCATCCAGACTCCTGATTTCAGCTCAAGTCATGATCTGTTTGTGGGTTTGAGCCCCACACTGACAGCGCAGAGCCTGCTTGAGATTCTCTCACCCCTCTGTGCCCCTCCCCTCGTGTTCTCTCTCTCAAAATAAACTTAAGAAGACGAAAACAGCCTTCTAAACCCAACCAAACCCAACCCAGCCAAAGCCAATTCAAGTTCCACTTCTTCCTTGAAGCCTTGACTACTCCAGGTTTCATTCATCTCTCCACTCAACTCTTTAACCACTTAAACATCCACAGCATAGAACTCAGTACAGGTGGGTGGTTTTTGAGTACTTTGTAAATCCCCAAGATTGTATAGAATTGTTACAACGCCAAAATATCTATTTTTAAATGGCAAAAAGAAGCCTCTATTCAAACATCTTCCTATGGACAATATAGTGTCTATCTCCAACTAATAATGAACTACTATTACAGTGCCAGTCAATTACAAGGTAAAACTGCAAACAAATCTGGCAAAAAGATGCTGTTTCTTGAAATCAATGTAAATAATAAAGAAAAACCACTCTGATTACAGGTATGGAAAAGATGATCTAGGTCAACCAGTAAACAAGTGACAACTGACAACAATAATAGGACAGAAACTTCAAAAAGTGACATGATAAACATCAAAGGATTAAGATATGTTGGGGCACCTGGGTGGCTGAGCTGGTTAAGCATCCAACTCTTGGTTTTGGCTCAGGTCATGATCTCACAGTCTTTGAGTTCAAACCTGACAATGGGCTCCTCAATGACATTGTGGAGTCTGCCTCGGATTCTGTTTCTCTCCCTCTCTCTCTCTGACCCTCCGCCAATCACGCATGCACTTTCTCTCTTTAAATAAACTTAAAAACAATGTAAGTCAATGACATAACAGAGGGAAAATAAAACAAGATCAGTAAAATAGCAGTTACCACTGAGTATGCAAGCATTTCTATGATTCTCTCTTCTTTGGTATATGCTTGAAATTTTCTATTGTGGACTTTTTTTTTTTTTAAATGTTTATTTATTTTTGAGAGAGACAGACACAGAGTGTGAGCAGAGGAGGGGCAGAGAGACACAGAGACATAGAATCTGAAGCAGGCTCCAGGCTCTGAGCTGTCAGCAGAGAGCCTGATGCGGGGCTTAAACTCACAAACCACGAGATCATGACCTGAGCTAAAGTCAGATGCTTAACCGACTGAGCCACCCAGGCACCCCTATTGTGGACACTTTTAAAAGGGAACCTTACTAAAACGGATTACCTCACTATTTTACAAAAATTTAACCTCATTATAATCATGAGAGAGTGAAACAAAATAAAGTATGTCACCTCCCTCTTATACAATTTCACTGGACAATTTTTTTTTAATTTTTTAATGCTTATTATTTATTTTGAGAGAGAGAAAGAAAAAGGAGGAGGAGCAGAGACAGAGAGATTTCCAAGCAGGCTCCACGCTACCAGCACAGAGCCCCACACAGGGCTTGATCCCACAAACCTTGAGATCCATGACCTGAGGCAAGATTAAAAGTCAGCCGTTCAACTGAGCCACCCAGGTGCCCCTGGACAAAATTTTTTTTACTCTATTTGATTCTTGCCTTATTATAACAAATAGTTGCCATCACAACCAAAGTTTTGATAAAGGTTTAAAAAGTTTATTTTCATATTTCTTCATTTTAATTTTTCGATATAAAATCCTAAGTAAACTCTTTTCTCCTTATTATGAAATTTTAGTTCCCACTGTAAGTGGATTCATTTTTAGTCACCTTCTTTAGATTAAAAGTACAATATGTACATCAGACTATCCTAGAGCTAGCTAGCTACATCCTAAGAATTTTGAGTATCCCTAAATTCATGAATACCACCACAATATAAATTCTCCATAAAACATCTAAGGGAAGAGTAGAAAACAAACTGCTACAAACAGCCTAGTGAGTAAACCAGGCCCAGCCAAGAGTGTCAGAGACCTTCAGAAGTCACTACAGAAAACCAAGAGTACTGAGATAGTTCTAGGATTTCAAGGGTTTTAGTTTTGTCTCTAATAATCTCAAGTGCCTTGAAGGATGACCTGTCTTTTATGACATCTTTCACTACAGAGCTATGAAGATCCAATGAGACAATACAAGCCAAAGCACTTAATAAGTTGTAAATTATTGCCTGTTTAAACTTAGCTCTGGGACCAACTTTCCTTCAGTATTTTATCAAGTACCTACATATTATTAAGCACTATACACTGCATACATTCACTGGCAGGAATTAGAAGGTGTCAACCCAATTAAATATAAAAGCACCAAGTCAGGATTATTAACTATAATGACAATCATTATTCACATCGCTATATTCAGATAAAATAACTGAAAAGCAGAGGATAAACTGAAGAGGCT